TTGTCCTGTAAATGAGTCATACGCAAGGATTGTTACATTGAGACAGGTACTTTTTCCCTAGGCAATTTCTTGCAGAGATTAGGGAATTCCCGTAATGTGGCGTGTCTGTAGGTAAATTGAACTGGTACCTTTATCGAAGCAATTTGCTTTCATCAATTTAAGAGGTGTGAGTGCAATTGCACTGAACGCGGAGACGTGCTTTGTGGAGCCGGGGACAGGTGTTGTTGACCTCATTGAATAGCTAGTGACGTCTGCAGAGATGAGAAGCGATCTTCTGTGCAGTGATTACATTATTGTTATCCGACACCTCTCAAGCCAACATTAACTTCAATTTCCAAAGATCGCGATGAATATGAACAAGATCTTATTCCCTAATGTTGGTATTATTAATACCATTAATAATGGAATTGTCGCATTCAGTCAACGTTGTCTTCACAATTAGTTGTAGCGCATTCTAGATTGTTCAAATATGTTGCGAAGGTGAATTCCCACGTGTCAGTATTCTAGTCAAGATTATTCTTCCGGGTCTCTACCATGCACAAGAACTGCTGTTTCTCGCAATAGCGAGAATGTAGCAATGAGTGTAGTTATCCAACTTATTAGTTGATTAAAGAAATCCGTACCTGTCGTAACTTGTTGAGTGGATCAAGTGTCCTTGAGTGTGCGGCACTTACCACTTTCCTATTCCGAAGCCTCATTTTACAAAATGTCGTTTAAGTCTGCTGACTGTGATTCGGGCTTGTGCATTTCGCAAACAATTAGCAGACGTTGAACTTAAGCTCCTTGGCCATCTGACTGCAAGTTTTGTCTGTGTTTGTCTGTGTGTAATTTCTAAGTAAAAGTCGGCAAATATAGCAAATCCGGTCATCCATGGGGATTGTTATGCCGCTTAGTTCATTGTTCTGTCTTTATCGTGAGCTTAAACCGGTTAGGATGTTTCCACTGTGATTAGTGGGATCTAATGGGCAGCAGTAAAGGCTCCTTAGTGTATTAACAACATGGTGGACCCTAATGGTAGCAAGTTTTTCAGTATTTAAAGGAATTATGGCAGATGGTGCAAAACGATGTAATCCGATTTTACTTGATCATAGCTTGCATTTACTTGGTAAAATTGCGGCTGCCATTACTGTACTGATCATAGCAGTCTATTCTCCTCTCGACTTCCCTGTTTTTAGTGCTGGTGAATTGATTTCCCTGACCGATT